GATCTCAGTAACTTAGTATTGCTCTCTTGTCTCTTTATCCTGGCTGATAAAATGCAGGTCATTCTAGTCATATGTCACTACAGGGCAATTTTTCTATCTTGTTACACTTCAATAACTTCATTTTAAAGACAGTTTTGAGACAGCTGGCTCAGCATGATGGTACATGTCTGAAATTCCAGGATGTAGGAGGCTGAGGCAGAAGGACTGTGAAGCAAAACCAACCTGAGCTACATGGTGAGCCTCACCATCAAAAACCAAAACTTAGGCTGAGGATGTGACTCAGTTACATAGTACTTGGACTAGTCTGTATGATACCCTGTGATTCCTAACACCTCACAAACTGGTCATCTGGTATGCTAGAATCAAGAGTTCAAGGTTATCTTCAGCTACAAAGCAACTTTGATATCGGGCTACACTACATGAGACCCTGTGTCAAACAAAACAACAACAAAAGCAGTTAATTATTAAAGGTATGGGATCTATGCAATCATTACAGGAGGTTTTGTTTGTTTGTTTGTTTGTTTGTACACATGAGTGTTCTATCATCTATAGGTTACTTGTACACCAGAAGCAGGCACCAGATCCCATTATAGATGGTTGTGAGCTACCGTGTGGCTGCTGGGAATTGAACTCAGAACCTCTGGAAGAGCAGACAGTACTCTTAACCACTGAGCCATCTCTCCAGCTCCAATAGCTTGTTTTAAAAATAGGAGATCAGGAAAAAGGGATGGCTCAACAGTGATGGAGATTCATACCTTGCAGCTCCAACTTCAAGGGACCCATGCCCTCTTCTGGCCTGGAGGAGTAACATACACACACACACACACACACACACACACACACACACGTGCGGGTGTGCAATAGGCAAACATCCATACATATAAATAAAAGTAATAAATCATTTTTATATATGATTCAAGGCTGGTGAGAGTACCTAATGGGCAAAGGCACTTGCTGTGCAATCCTGAAGAGCTGAGTTTGATTCCTGGGACCTGTGTAAATGTAGAAAAAGAAAACTGACTCTGTGAGATTGTCCTGTGTTCCACACATGCACTACGGCACCCACGCACCACCCCATATCACAAACAAACAATAATACATACAATTAAAAAGAATAGTGTAAACTTTAGTTTCTTCAATTACACGAAGTAGGTATTGCTCATCAGCAAGAAATTTTGATTGAAGTGTTTTTCATTTCAGTAGCCAAACACCAACGTAAAAGTAAAAATGTCTAATTATATTTCAGTCATAATGGGTAATTACAGACAATGAAAGGTTTATTTTTTGTAATAAAAAGAGAACAGTAATGGAGGATTTTAGTAGACGTGTACTTAAATGAGGACAAGTCAGGTATATGAAAATAGTAAGGAGCTAAACAGGACTATCAACATTTTCAAACTAAGACAATCCACTCTACTTCTGGAAAATCACACAGAGACCTAAATCCTCTCCATTTAAAACTTTCTCCAGCTGTCTGCTGCAGCAGAATGCTAACTAGAGAATTCTAGTGAATGCAGAAAGAGAAGTCTGTTACATCTACCACTGGCCGTATAGAAATCCTAAAGTGAAATGTTTCAGAGTCTGCGGTGCCAAAAACGAAGTGAAAATACTAGGACGTGAAATTTATGTTTATCCTTAAAAAACTAATAAGGCTGACTTTTAGTCCTTTTCATTTTAAGTTTTTGTAACTATGTTAGTGTGTGTGGTGAATGCACACCTGTGTGCGTGAGCATATTCGAGCATGTGCACGTGTACACACACACCTGTGTGTGGAGGCCAGAGTAGGATATTGGTGCTCTGCTCTATCAGTCTTCATCTTGTTCCTTTGAGACAGACACTTTCACTGAATCTGGAGCCAGTTTAGCAGCCAGCAAGCCACAGTTATCCTCCTGTCTCCATCCCCCATAGTCCTGGGGTGACAAGCCAGTGGCCAGGTCCAGCATTTTATTTGGGTGCTGGGGTCTGAACTTAGGACCTTACACTTGAATAGCAAGTGCTCTTGCCTGCTGAGCCATCTCTCCAACTCTATTCTTTTTCATTTTTTATTTTTTTGGTAGTTCTGGAACTTGAACTTGGGCTCTCTCACTTGTTTGCCAAATGCTCTACTGAGTCATATATCTCAGCCCTCATTCTAGATGAGTTTTAGATATAACTTGAAAGCATGTCAGTTCTACTAAAATGTTGAACCTTTTTTTTTTTTTTTTTTTCAGTGCTGGCACTTGAACCCTGGATCTTTGTGCTCTACCATTGAACCACACCCAAAGTCATTAAACTGAAAATCTGAAGTAGTTTTTGTTTTGTTTTGAGATAGGATTTTTCTGGGTAGCCCTAGCTGCCTAGGAACTCACTCTGTAGACCAGGCTGGCCTTAAACTGAGATCTGCCTGCCTCTGGCTTCTGAGTGCTGGGATTAAAAGTGTGTGTCACCACCACCCAGTTAGCTTTGAAAAGTACAAACAGTTTGATCTTGTGTTCAATTCTATTTCTACATATAAATAATATGCAATGAAATTCTTACCATAAAGAAGTATTTGGAAGACCTAGTTAATATTTTGAAATTTGTTTCAGGTAAGATTAGTGGATATGCATAGCTCAAAATCCCAGGGCAGCAACAAAGATGTTCAATCAGGCACCTTGTTTATAAAATGGACCATTTGTGCAATGTAATTTATATGTGTTTAACGTAATGGTTCTTAATATTTTGCCACTAAGATAAAACTGAAATCAGAATAATGCAGATATGTATGTATGTATGTATAAACAAAATTCTGCTTAAAACTTTTGAGGTTTCAGTGGTATCTCATTTATCTGCCTGAAGCAAGGACTTAGTGGGGCAAGAACTCACACTGATATAAGATGTGAGGATTAACTTGGGGTAGTGAACGCAGGGAGAGGTTCCTAACAAATATACACCCTTTTCTTTTTCTTTAGGAAAAGCAGTCTTTCCTGTTTCTCAAGGAATCTAACCTAAAAAGCAGCTGTTTATAATTCAAAATTGTAACTTATACATTTTCCCCAGTTACTGACGAGACAATGTTGTCTCATAGTCACTAGCCCTCTCTGCAGTCCTCATTTCCTGTAATGAATGACCCTTGTTCCCCAAAATAACTTCAGTGCTGTTCAACTGCTCGTGTTTAGCATACTCCTTCTTATTTAGGAAGGCACAGAGTTTGTTCCTTCTACAGCTGGACAAACTGTGTTTTCAGAGAGCTGCCCCCAAACAATGCTCCCTCTAGGCCCTTAAAAATGTTCAGTATCTGAGTGCTGGCAAGGAATGCTTACACCCAGTGGAAACAAACCTCAATGGCCTGAGCCAAGAAAAAGCAGGGATGCTATATATGGAGTACAGGAAGCAGGGCCAGAACTGACAGCCTTACTCATATGCCCCCATGATATATAAAGCCTTGAGCCAGGGACTACTAAGTTACCTGAAAAAGAAAAAGATTTACTGACTAGCTGAAGCTGGGGCCAGTATTCTGCCACTTTCCAGCATAATCTTAAGGATGCAGAGAAGTGAAGTGTTGCCTAATACCTTAAGACAACCTAACCTAGTCAGCTGGAGTGTGGTTCAGGGGCAAAGCCCCTGGCATACACAAGGCCCTGGACTCTTTTTTTCTATGAAAGAAAGCAAACAAAACAAAACAAAATCGAAAAAAACCACCAAATAAATAAACGAAAGTTAAAAAAGCTAGCCAAATTCCCTGACACACAGGACGCCTGCCCAGCAGGTGGCTGTACAGCAGACTGGCTTTCTACAGTTCTTTTTGTGGACTGTTGAAGGTCATTACTCAAAGGAAGCTCTCAAGACCAAGACAAAAACTTGCCAAATCAAGAAACTTCCAGTTTCTTTGCATTATATGACTCTTTGTTCGCTATTTGCTTATTTGGAGACAGAAAAATTAGGAACTGAGAAGATGCTTTCACCTTTTCTAGTTTTGTGAAATGTAATTCCCATATATATGTATATATGCCTGTATTTACCGTGTGTATGCCAAGCATGGATTACACGTTTATACAGTAGTTTCCTATGTAGAGACTGGGCAAATGGTTTAACTCTTAAGTGGTAAAAATCAATACCTTTAAAGGCAAAATCATTGATATTTACATGGGCTGAGCTGCTGATGCAAAAGTAGCAGCCTCTTAAGCTCTGCCATTTACTAATTAAAAAAATGATGCTCATTTCTTAAGAGTTTAAACAACACATTTGATTTGCTGATGGGCTATATATAATTTTTCCATAGAGATTATCTTTCTATTGTATTATTTGAGCATTCCAATTTTACTCTTCCAAAACAGAAACATTACTTCTAGGGTTCATAACCTGGCAGTAAGAGTTGTCTTTTTGATAGGATGCCCTGCTTCTTACTGGCAGCCCACACTATTCGGGTAAGCTGATGGCATCTGCCTGCCACACAGCTTTTGGTATGATGTGCCGAGTACAAGTTTCAAGCTTCACATTTAGAGTCTAAACTAGATTAGCTAGTTTCTTTTCAATTCTTTTTCCAGAAAAGAGAAAACGAATCCGTAAACACGAGATTTTTCCTTTTCATACTTGGCCATCCAAATAGAAAACTGAGCAAAAGTAGCTCCCTTCGGGAAGGGTGGCACAGCAGGCATGGAGCGGAAGGCTGCAACTTTAGAGGGACAGGGACGCTAGATACCACCCCATTCTTCCTGGCCCTCAGCCACACACATGTCAGGCCCGGGATCCCAGGGGACGGAACAAAGGCTTCGGCTGGGCCTTCTCGCGGGCAGCCTGCGCCCTCAGCGCCATAGGGCCAAGCCCTTGGCTGGAAGGGCCGAGCTGACCCGCTTCTTTGTCTAGAGCCCGCCCCACCTTCTTTCTTCCTGCTGCCTCCCCACCTCCTTCGGGGGGGTGGGGGATGACGCGACACGGAGGAATGCATTTCCGGAGGGAGAGAAATGCCGGACGGCCCGGGAGTGGGAACTTCGCGGCGGGGCGGGGCCGGGACTCGGGCAGCTTCCTGAGGGAGTCGGCCGGCCGAGTCTCCGCCCACGCGCTGTGTTGCTGCTGAGACCCGCCGAGCGGCCGAGGCCCGCCGACACCGCCCGAGACCATCCGAGAAGCCGAGGCCCGCCGACACCGGCCGGAGACCCGCCGAAGGGCCGAGGCCCGCCGACACCGGCGGAGACCTTCCAAGAGGCAGAACGCTGCGGAGCCCGGACCGCACGCGTAAAGGTAAGGCCGCGGGCGAGTGGACGTGCGGGCGTGGGCGCTGGGCAACGAGGGCTGACCGGCGAGTCTGTTTTTTGACCTGGGCCGAGCGGAGCCGGGTCTTAGGGTCCGCGGAGCGCTGCCACGTCCCGCTGCCGCTCCCCGCCCCACCCGGCCTTGGGTCAGGCAGGGTCTCCCTGAGGGAGGGTCTTGAGCCCCGCCTGTCACACCGGGGCGTGGCGGGGGTAGGGTGGGTACGGCAGGGGTTGCGGTGCTCTGTGACCTCAGAGGGGTTCTGCCCGTCGGTGCCCAGCGGCCGCCTTCCCCGCGCGCAGAGCGGGACCCCGGGGACCAGGCCGCGGCGCCCGTGGTCCGCGAGGCGGTGCCCGCCTGGGGCCTCGTGTAGTGTGGTTGCCGACTCTTTCTCATGCCTCCTAGTGACAGGCTGGGCTTATGACTGCTGTGATCCCGAAAGCCTTAGTGAATCTGAACTTTTGATTTGAAACCCAGCACATAGTGTTTTAATGAGTAATAAATATAGTATTTCCGTTTCCTCTTTTACAAAAGAGAAAAGGCTCTCCTAACCAATTATAATAATATTTGTGACACTCAGACCCAGCTCCCAGCGGGTGTTTACATGTATGACCGCAGTGCAGACCCTGATCCATGGTGGTACTGGGACTGTCTATCTCCTTTCACAAATGAAGAAACTGAGGTGCAGGAGTGTAAGTAATTTGGAGAGTTCATGGGTTTACCTCCAGAGCACTCTGGAGGTAAGTAACTTTACTGATGTAAGGCATTGTATAGGACAAGAGGATTCCAGCGCAATACCAGTCTGAGCTTCATGATGTAGTGAGAACTTGTCTCAAAAAAAAAAAAGAAAGAAAGAAAAGAAAAAAAGACATTAAAATGTAAAACCGCAAGCTTAGACAATAATGCCTGTATATATTGATTCCTTTTCATTGTGCCTTGCTACATTAAAAAGATCTACAAACTTCAGAATATTTTGATAGCATTAGGAAGGTTTCTTTAAACTGCCATTCCACTTGGGTATGAAGAGGGTAGTATGACTAAGTATTTTTGTTTGTTTGTTGTTGTTGCTATTGCTTTCATAGGACAAAAATAAATGTTAGATGAATTTTGATTAGATTTCTTTCTTAAATTGCACACAGCCATTACAATAGATCATATCCTAACCTGTAGAAAGGACTAAGAAATTTTAGTTGAAAGTTACCTATTGCACATTGATGGACATCAAGGCTAGAAGGGAAGGACCGACTAAGAATCTCAGTTTGATATTCATGTTTGTGAGGAATTTCGATTCATTCATAAATGGTAAATGACCAAAATAATTGACAGACAGAAAACAGATAAAAACAATGGTACGTTGTATATAGGCACTTGGGGAGAGTAGAAGATACTAGAATGCTAGTTTTCATGTCAGTAGAAAACGAAGTCCAGTTTATCTGTTGAATTCACAGGCCTACAGTTGAAGAATCTGTGCTGTTGAGAAAGTGAGGTTCTACATTAAAGTTTTTTTGTTTGTTTAAGACAGGGTTTCCCTGTGTAGTGCTGGCTGTTCTGGAACTCTTTGTAGTCCAAGTCAGACTCCAGAACTTCACCCCACCCGACTCTGCCTCCTCAACTCCAGAATTAAAGGAGTGCTCCCCACGCCCAGCTAAGATGGTTTCTTTAATTTAATTTATGATTATTTGGGTGTGTGCCATGACACCCATGTGTGGAGGTCAGAGGATAAATTTGTGAGTTTTATTTTTTTCTTCCACCATGCTCTGCATTCCAGGGTTTGAATTCAGATTGCCAGGCTTAGAAAAACACTTTCATGTGCTGAGCTGTCTTGCTGTTCCAGGTTGTTTTCTTTTGTAAAGTTTTATAATAGTAAACTTGTTTATTTTGTATGGATGGGTGTTTGCTTGCATGTAAATTTGCACCGTGTGCATGCAGCTCCTGTGGAGGCCCCTGGAACTGGATCCACAGATGTTTGTGAGCCACCATGTGAGTACTGGGAATGCAACCAGGTCCTCTGGAAGAGCAGCTAGTGCTCTTAGCCACTGAGCATCTGCCTGTCCATCCCCTGCACCCCAAGTTGTTTTTAATGTTTAGTGTTCTGTACATGAAAAGTACAGAATCAACAAAGTTGAAAAATAATTGGATTAGTACTTTTAGAACCAATTATCTTTTTTATTTTCTGGTCAGCCTAATTTGAATCTGTTCTGAATCAACATAACTGAAATGAAAATGTAGTTCTGTGTTGATTAACACCCTCTCCTCATTATTTATTACTAGGAAAGTTAACTTAACTTGACAGATTAACTTAATAAGCTTGTCAAGAATGCTTGCTGCCTAATGTAGTTCCTTTACTGTTTGGCTTTTTTTCTAACAGAACCCTCCCTGGCTTACATGCAGAGAGGGAGGAGTATAACATAGTATATGGTCTGGAGAAAATACTTTTATTAGTGTTCTGTGAGTGGACTGGTCTTAACTATGCTGCCAGAGGGATGAGATGGACATGTTGAAAATGGTAAAAGTTTCAGAGGATTTTTTCCCCTCAGAATTGATGTGTAACAAGCCCAGCTGATTTGAAGACTCATTGTGGATGGAATCCAAGATTATATTGTGAATATTTTAAAATAAGCTTTTATTGTTTATCTGCAAATATTAAGTTTTAGAGTTGATTATATTAGTGTTTTCTATTATATGAGGATAAAGGGAGGCAAGAGTGAATCCTCTGGAGCAGATCTGAAGTTGTAGCAAAATACAGTCTCAGGAAGTAGAGAATGTACTGAGTTTAAAGGACAGTCCACAGAACTGGTTAGAGATTGGGGTAGGTAGATAAGAGCTGTGCACTTCACTTTCAGAAGCTGCATGAAAAAGAACAAAACTGTACTTTGTAAATTTCTCACAGTTTGAAAACTTAATTTTTGGTGTATGGCTTTAGGAGATAAGGATAATTATCTTTACCAGTACGTCTGTCGTATATATCATGAAATGCGTCCATGAGAAAAGAGGCCCCTTCAAATTTACATGCATGTGTAAGCGTACATATATGCTTACATATCTGTATGCACATATAATGTACATATTATATATTACAAATATAAACATTTTCATAAATATAAGCATGTATGTATATATGTGCACGCACGCACGTGCGCACACACACACACACACTTTGTACTTGTAGGAGCAGTCCCATTATACCAAGGCTTCAAAATACAAGTTTTTAACCCAAGGGATATGTAAAATGACTCATTGGACTGAAATGAAGAACATTTTATAAGAGCATTCTCTGGTTATAGCTTTTAAAAGTTCAAAGTGTTTATCATACTATATAATCTTAACTGTATTTCTATAGAATATGTTAATTTATAAAATAATGGGCACATGGATACTCTATTTTTGTGTGTGTGTGTGACAAAGGTGAAACTAAAAAATCTTAGAGATTCCAAGTGTTAGCCAGTGGGGAAATGAGAATTATGCTGTTTAGGAAGGAAAATTGGTGAGATGGGGTTCATGTTGAGGGAAACAGAAAGGTAAATGGCTAGGTGGTAGCATGGTAAATGGCATTTACCCAGGGAGGCAGTACTACCACAAGAGGATAGGATATACAATGCTAAGCTTTTTAAAAATTGATCATAGGTAGAGACGTGTAGCCTAGGATTTGGGAATTATTCATCATGTAGGGAATTATTCAGTCATTCATGTAGGGTTTGGTATTATTCATCTATCAATGCTGGTTGTAAGTATAGGCTATAACTAAAAGCATCAGAGCATAGAGTAGAAAAGGCTCTAGGAAAAGCAGTTCATTTTCCCAGTTTCTTCTCTGAACTTTTGGTTTCTTGCCATTTTAGAGAGTGTGTAGGGATTTGTGGGATTTTCCAGCAATTAGCATGTTTAAAGACTAGTTTATTTCCATACCTGCTTCCCGGGAGCCCCAGTTTGATTTAGGAGAGGCTTCTCACTGGGTTTCAGTATAGGCTCTGACCCTGGATTTTTTTATGACATTAGCACACCACTCCCTAGGGCTTTGGTTTCACATCTGCACTGTTACTTCACTTTAAGATAAGAGGTAGTGGCTTTGTGATCTAAGTATTACAGAGTACAGTTTTTGTTCTTTCAGGATAAATAATTTAAAATTTTTAAATATTTATTCACTTTACATCCTGATTGTAGCCTCCCAGTTATTTGAATATGTGTAGATATGTGTCTTCATATGTATTTGTACACATAAATGCAGATTCCTTCAGAGGCCAGAGGCTTTGGATTTCCTACATCTAGAGTTACACAGATGGTTGTGAGCCACTTGATACAAGCTCTGGTGAACTGAACTTGGGTTGTCTGGAAGAGCAGCAAGTACTCTTGATTGTTGAGCCATTTCTCCAACCCTAAGCAACCATTTTCCTGTTTCATTATAAGAAAGTATAGATGTGCCATTTTGTAAATTAGCTGACCCCTTCATGCAGGATTTTTACTTCTGAGAAATGAAAGCACTCTTGCAAAAAAAAAAAAAAAGTATAGATTCTGTGCAAATGACCCAGGAAGACTCTGTACCAGGGCTGATTAGTCAAATCTATTACTGGCTGCTCTTTGTCAGGGTGTCTTCAGTTGTGCATTGCATTAGCTAATCAGTGTACTGAGTGGCAATCACTGAAAGAACATGGTGCTCAGCGTAAATTGAGGGGTTGGCATGTCTTTGCTTTTGAGTGAATTCCTTAGTTGGGACAATTGTGTTCCACTCAGGAAAATATGACAAACACCAAAGAATAGTTTATACAATGCACCCTGCCAGTTTTTTTTTTTTTGAGGAAAAGTTCAGCCATGGCTTACGTAGTTTTGAAAGGCTTTGTGGGGAAGATGAGGTCTGAGTGAGGAATGGACTAAGCTAAGTTATGGATGAATGATGTATTTAAAAAAGACCAAAAGGAAAAAAAAAAAGACCAAAAGACAGTGTAGTTGGGAGGTAGAGCACTGTTTAATTTAACAAAATATTACTTGTATATGACTGTGTATGTGTATCATGGAGCTAAAAAATGAAGGCCTGAGTTCTTCATCTAGTCCAGCAAGGTATGACACGTGCATGGATGCAGTTAGTTAAAAAATAGTAAAAATAACAGTACATCATTGAGTATTACTAGAAGTCTGCCATTTTTGTGCTATGCAACATCAAGATTATGTTCTTTAAAGAATAAACTCTGTTTATTGTGGCTGTTGAAGATTGATAGCCCCAAGCAAAACAAAATAAAAAAACAAGTAAAAGTCATAAAGTAGAAGAAAATTTGCATTGCATTTTGCTTAAGGAGTGTAGTTTTAAGTTTAAGGGTGAAAATATTTACATGCAAATTCTAGTACATGCCGTTTGAAGGACAGAACAAGAAATAGTTTACATACATGCTTATTGAACATTTAATTTCATACTCTGAAATTAGGATGTTAATAGCTCTTTCTAATACATCCAGTATTTTCTAAAACATACATAAATTATGTATGATTTAGTTCATGTTATGATTTTGGCCTGTCTTAGAGGTCAGTTGTGGGGTACTATACTATTTGATTATTAGAATATTGAAGCTTGAAACTGTACATTTAGTAGTCTCATATTACAGTTGGAAAAGGAGTGAGTTATCCTTATTAAAAAAGCATGGAAGCATGACTTTAAAAGAGTTACATTCTTGGGGTTGGTCTATTTATACTTGCAAGGCCATAGGTT